TTGATATCGAAGGATCTGAATATCATATCTTGGAAAATGACATATTTTTGGCTCAAACTTGCATTAATATCACTGAATAGCAAAATTTAAACATGATAGAGGTAATATTTCTATGTATTTTACACTCTTTGATACTTATAATTGGTTTTCTTTTGTATGTTCAAGTCATATCTTATTATCAAATGGTCCAACTATCAGACCTTGAAAGATGATCGTATTTTGGAGCTGACACACTTTGGCAATGTTAATTATTGACAACTATACATACTTTAATTAATTCTTCTTATATATTTCATATTTTTGTTACATAAATTCAGTTAATTCACATACTAAATATTATGTTTCAATTATCGAAGGATCTGAATATCATATCTTGGAAAATGACATATTTCTGGCTCAAATTTGCATTAATATCACTGAATAGCAAAATTTAAACATGATAGACGTAATATTTCTGTGTATTTTACACTCTTTGATACTTATAACTGGTCTTTTCTTGTATGTTCAAGTCATATCTTAATATCAAATGGTCCAACTACCAGACCTTGAAAGATGATCATATTTTGAAGTTGACATACTTTGGCAATGTTAATTATTAACAATTATACATACTTTAATTAATTCTTCTTATATATTTCATATTTTTGTTACATAAATTCAGTTAATTCACATACTAAATATTATGTTTCAATATCGTAGGATCTGAATATCATATCTTGGAAAATGACATATTTCTGGCTCAAATTTGCATTAATATCACTGAACAGTTAAATTTAAATATGACAGATGTAATATTACTATGTATTTTACACTCTTTGATACTTATAATCAGTTTTTTCTTGTTTGCTCAAGTCATATCTTAATATCAAATGGTCCAACTACCAGACCTTTAAAGATGATCATATTTTGGAGTGGACATGCATTGGAAATGTTAATCATTAATAATTATACATACTCTCATCAACTCCTTCTATATATTTCATGTTTTGTTTCACAAAATTAGTTAATTCACATACTAAGTGTCGTGCTTCGATATCAAAGGATTTGAATATTATATTTTTGGAAATAATATATTTCTGGATTAAATTACATTAATATTACTGTACAAGAATATTTACACACGATATTTACACACGATAGACATAATATTCTATATATTTCACACTTTTTGATACTCATAATCAGCTTTTTTCTGGATTTCAAGTCATATCTTTACATTAAGTAGTCCAATTATATTCTTTGGTATGATATACACTGGCAATGTCAAATCTTAACAATTATACATATTTCATTTAATTCCTCCTATATACTTTACACTTTTGCCACATAAAATCAATAAACTCACATACTAAGCATTGTGTTTCGATGTCGAAGGATATGAACATTGTGTGTGGAAGAATGACATTTTTCTGGGTCAAATTCACATTAATAACACTGAATAGCAATATTTACATATTATAAAAGTAATATTTATTATATACTTTACACTCCTTATACACATAGTCAATTTTCTTTGGCAGTTGAATTATACCTTGGGCATCAGGTGGTTTCACCACCAAGTATTGTAAGACGTCTGTTTTCTGGGATATTTGTACACTGGCAACATTAATTAATAACAACTGTTTATATCTTGACTGAGACTTTCGCATATTTCGTGTTCTGCTATACGAAATCAGATAAATTTACACATTAAAGATCACACCTTGATTGTGTAGCGCCTGCTGGCTATGCATGATAAAGCGATGCATTTCTGAGTTGAGGATACATTGATAATATTATATAACAATAGCTACACATAATAGAAGCAATATCCTGATCTTTATTTCACTTTTGAGATATAAACTTAATCTTAGATAACTAGACTCATGTCCCGTTACTTTGCTTTGCAATAAGTACTACCCTCTTTGTTTATTTGTTCCTGTTTTGCTTATTGTATAAACACAGAGAGGTCCACAGTTAGGCATTCTCAGCGTGTGTTTTAAACAAATGCTTACATTGACATTGAAATGATAAATGAATAGTATCAATGAATTATATGGGGTAACATAACCTCTTGGAGCACACGTTGAGATGCATTATTATTACTATTTATTACGACTAACGTCTGTTTCAGGATCTAAATGGACGGAAGAAGAAATAAAATATATATATACACCAACTCTTTCTTTCTTCTGTTATTATTTATTTATTTATTTATTATTGATATATAAATACATCATATTTGGACTTCTCTGTTTATGTTTGTCCATGTTTAAAATACGCGATATCACATTGTATTATACATATATATCACTCCACCCACCGATTCCTATTTAATTTGTTTATTTATAGAACCGAATTTTACATTAAATTGTTCACCGTAAGGTAGGTTAACGTAAGACACGCGTGCGTACTATTATTGATTATCACTATCTTTGGAGCATGAGTCTTGAGAACCATGATAGGTAACTCATCTCCACATGTCGATACCTTAAGGCGGATTTACATGTATGCAAACCTTTAAAGTTCTATCTCTATGATGTTAGATCTACAATCACATTACTGAACTCATGCTTTCTTGATGATTCTATTTATTTGTTTATATTCAGAAAATAATGTTTTACACTTTTTTCTGATATTCAACGACGAATAAATACAATTGAGTAAAAACCTGTAAAAATTTGATAAATAGGATAGATAAATTAACAAATTGATATTACAATAGACTATAGCTTTAATTTTAGTTAGACGAATTGTATGCGTGCATACCGAGTTGTATATATAAGAATATATAAATGTATATATGGGTAAAGACTAAATTATTAGTCACTACTATGGACGTTTGACTCTTTGGAGTCTAATACTGAATAATCCTCGACGATTATTCTTAAATTAATCCCTCGTGCTGCTCATCTCTGCGTGGGATAATGAAACTGGCAGTCTCACATTTGACTGCAAGATTCGCAGCCGGACACTGCGCAATCTTTAATGAGCGGTCCTAGGATGCGCCATGGACGGGGTGCACCCGAATTTTAGTCCTAAGGGGAGCACACCCCTGAAATAACGAAACATAAACAACATGAAAGGTACAAAGAAGGAGAAGAAACTTACCGTCTCAGGGGGTTCGGAGACCCAGAGACCGGCGCGGGGGGGTTGTAGTCCCAGCGAACCCCGTGTCGATGGGCTTGTCCCTAAATCAAGCGATGGGCTAAGTACACAAATAGCACTGCGTCCTGATTGGACAGGCGCAGTTGCTGACTCAAATACGACGGAGGAAGCCACCAAGGTGGTGGAAATGGAAGAAGAGGATTACGATAAAGGTCTGACACTTGCTAAACAGATTATTGCGGATGTTACAACAACCGAGGATCCTCAGGTCTCGGATGACGCGAGAACCGATTCTACTTTCGCTCCTCCTGGTGTGTCTGATTCGGAGGGATCAGTGCATCGGGACCAACAGTTGACGGGAGACGTGGTTATGATCGATGACGATGATGACGAAGATATCCCTCTGCCTACCCCAAATAGGGAAAAAAGGAAGGAGAGATTTCTTTCGGACTCTCCGGAAAACACGGCTAAACCCCTGAAAAGAAGATACACAATTTCGGAGAATGAGATCTACACTCCGGTGCCAACAACCAAACACAGGCTCTCCATACAGCCGGTGGCTGCAAATAATCTACGTTCTTATGATTCAGACCAACTGAATAAATGCGCTACTGAATGTCTCCAAAAAATGGAGATTATCAGAAATAGTAGCAAAAATATTAAAGGAAACTTTTCTGGATACCTCAGAGACGGCATTTCAAATATATGCGAAATAATAGACATTTATCGTGAACGTTTGGGTGCCGCTGGTGACGTAGCAGATCTCGAATTACAGAACAAAAATCTGACTACACAACTGCGCAAAATTACTCGCGAGCAGTAGCTCCAGAAGAAGGAGTACTCCATACTCCGTAAAGAGAACGAAGATCTCCGCAAGGATATGGAAATGCTCTGCAGGGAGATGAAAAGTATGAGAGACACCGCAAACATGAGAGGATCTCCTTTAAAGGTTTCTGAAAATAACTCTGCTGATACTCGCAAAACAAACTTTGGGGAACCATTAACTCGTGTCGAAGACTTTCCCCCTCTCCCACAGAGAAAACCTAGAGTTATCTCTTCGGAGATACTTCGAGACAGAACTGTCAAGTTGCGTAAACATCCCACTAGTGCCTCGGGATCGGAAACGGATGCAATCGGGGTTCCTAATTCATACAAGAAGAGATCTCCTTCCGTTAGGAACAGGAAAACGGACAAAGAGATTCCCATTCAGACTCCAGCTAGTGCTATCTACTCAGAAGAGGATACCGACTCGTACCATATGTTGGAATGCATGAATCAACAGATCCAACAACTGGTAGCCAACATGGAGATACTTCGTGCCAGGTTTGGCTCGAAATCGGAGGAATTTCCTAAGAAGAAAAGGATAAAGAAGACATCCTTTAGGAACGATACAGAGACCTCCGGTATCTCGGATGGGGAGTCTATGGGTCCGCAGACCTCTGCACCGCCTATTGAAGCGACGACTCGGAAAGAAGGATCTCGACGGGGGGTTTTCGGAGACGCTCCTCATTCGACCACTCGCTCACGTAGACCGCCTAAAACCGCCGCGGTGTCTATTACGAGCCTCAAGGATGACGTT